AATCTCCTCCCCCTTCGACTCGGCCTGCCTCTTCGCCAATTGTTTGTTATTGCTGACTGTCGTTTGATAGCAACTTCTCGAAGTGAGTTGATCCCCAGCAATCTCCCCTACGTTTTCGCCCACCGGATATTTGATCGTCATGTGGTACGTGGATACGACCGCCTGGAATGCATTCAAGCTCGTCCGCCCCATGATGATGTTATAGGACGAATCAGCCTCTACAACCACAAATCTCACCATACGCACCTTTCTCAACTCTCCTGATCCCAATGCCACGGGCAAACTGACCTCTCCCATCGGCATAACTTCTCCCCCATTAAAGCCGTAAAGGGCCGTGGTCACCAGTTTCAGCTCCATATTCAACTCCTTGTTAATCTGCACAAAACAGTCGTAGAACATCACATCTACCAAACTCCCGGTATCAATGAATACCCTCTTCACGTCGAAGCCTGCAACCTCCGCGGTTATCACCAAGGCGTCATTAGGGATGTAAATGGGTCGGGTCGGGTACGGGTTTTCACATACCCGTACCCGACCCGCAAGTAAAAAATACGTACCCGTACCCGACCCGCTACCCGATAATCCATCACCGGGTTCGGGTTGGGTTTTACCCGTCGGGTAATCGGGTACCCGTAGGGTAATCGGGTTACCCGAATTAGTATTGTCGGTTAGATTAGTTCGGGTTTTTTTACCCGTTTACCCAAATCTCACCCGATTACCCTACGCCCGACCCGACCCAACCCGAATCGGGTTTTTTTTAATGTTTTTTTGTTGATTTAAGAATTGTTTTATTAAAAAAATTTGAAATTCTTAACTTTATCTTAAAGATAAGGGAATACACAAATTTTAAGTTAGAGAGATCATGATACGTAAAATAATATTAATAAATTAAATAAATAAATTATGGGCATATATAATGGTAAATTCAATATAATATCGTACTAAATTTCATTGAAATTGTGATTCATAATTACGTTCTACTTGCTATTCATCTAGGATAAAGAAATTATATTGAAATGTATAATAAATTATAAACAATGATTATAAATCATACTACTGAAATTAATTTTTGTGTTTGTTAAAAAATATGTAATAAGATATACTTTTAAATTCAAATTGACAATATAATATTTATTTGAAATGATATAACGACAGATATCTAATAATTGGTACAAAAGTAAACAGATGTATAGATTTAGAAAAAGTATGTTATTAGTTTTGTCGCATATTATACACTATTTTGGTGTTTTACGAATTGCCGATGATCATACTCCAAAGAAACAACGGTAATACGTTATAGATATATGCATATCATTTTAGTTGGATAATACTTAATTACTCATGGTTTGAAATAGAGAGATCATGATACGTAAAATAATACTACCTATAACTATTGGTAAATTAAAGAAATAAATTATGGGCATAGATAATTGATAAATTCAACATATAGAATCTCCTATATTTCAATTAAATTACAATTCATAATTATATTCTACTTGCTCTTCATACATGATAAAGAAATTATATTGAAATACAAAATAAATTGTAAAATATGATTATGAAATATAACACTGAAATTAATTTTTGTTTTTGTTAAGTAATATGATGTAATTTGAAATTCAAATTGACAATATAATATTTATTTGAAATCATATAGCGAGATATATATAACACTTGGTAAAGACACAATACATAGAATTTTACTTGGATAATAAATAGTTACTCATATTTTGAAATATTTGTAAAGATGTAAATATATAGAACAAACTACACACGTATAAACTTATTATTTTGTTTATTATTATTTATTATATATATGATATTTATAATAATTAGAGTTATTCTTTTTGTATAAAAAATATAAATTGATCATATTTATATATGTGATGCTCATACTTATAAAAATAGAAGAAATAATAAAATATTATGTCCAAATTATATGAATATATTCCATATTCATTCTTCAATATATATAAAAATTTAAAAATATTTTAGTTACTATATAATTATTTTTGAAACATATATTTTTTGTATATTTATTTGTATCTATAGTTATTAGGTGTGCGGGTAATCGGACGGGTAAAAAGACGGGTCGGGTATAAAAACCCACCGGGTAAATGGGTCGGGTAATGGGTTTTTTTTGGTAAACCCGTACCCGACCCGACCCGGCCTGCGGGTATAAAAGAAAAACCCAAACTCGACCCAAAACCCGCTCTTACCGGGTATACCCGACCGATTTTTCGGGTTACCCGCGGGTTACCCGACCCGGTGGGTTTTTCTGACAACCCTAGGCGTCATTGTGCGGCAGGACCACTCCCTCGGCATCCTCCGCCTTAAAACTTATCACTGGCATGCGGGCCGTGATACTCACCTCTTCCCTCTTTCTTTTCATTGCTCGAACATGGCCTCTCCTCGCATTATTCGAGTCCCCGTCGGTCGGTCCTCCTGAAATCATATATATCGTGCCTCTCTTCACTTGGCCCCCATCTCCTTCTCTTTCCCGCTCCCTACTTCCTCACCTCCTCTTACCTTCATCTCTTTTCCGACCCTCTCGACCACCTCGTGCATCCTCATCATCATCTTTCTCGCTCCTCTCTACCGAGTCCTCCCGACACCTTCTTTTCTCCTTCCTCCTCCCCTTATCCTGATATACAAACTCCTTGAGATGCCCTGCTCGAATAAGGCGCTCAATCTCGTCCTTCAGATGCCGACAATCCTCAGTAGTATGGCCATAGTCTTTGTGGAAGTGGCAATATCTCCTCGACTTTGGTTGGGTGGGCCCCTCAAACCTCGACCTTGGCCACGTCACATCTTTCCCATCTCTTTCTCCATGGCCATCAAAACCTCAGCTACCTTCGCATTCAACGGGGTGTAATCATGGAATCTCTTCCCTCCAGAGATAGGCCGGTCCTTCCACCTGTCCTCTCACCCCCGATCCTGCTTAGCTCGCCCCTCTCTCTTGGGTGAGGCTTTCCTTTTAGGCGAAACTGCTTTCTCCTTCCTCGACTCCCCTCGACCTAACTCTTCTAGTTTGGCAAACTCCGCCTCGGTCTCCTCGAGATTAATATATTTCCTACACCTCCTCAACACCTCATCATACGTATGAGCAGGAGTCTTAGCCAGGGAAGTCCGACACGGTCCTGCCCGCAAACTCCTAATCAATCCTCCCATCTTGACCTCGTCGACCGTTGATGGAATCTCCAAACAAGCCTGATTGTATCGAGCGACATATTTACGCAGTGACTCCTTCTCGCCTTGTCTCATCGCCATCAATGTCAAATATGTTTTCTCCTGAGCCACCGCGCTCGAATATTGATTTGTCAACTTCTCCGCAAAATCCTCGAAGTCCACTATCGAGCCTGGGGGGAGCTGTTGGAACCAGTCGAGCGCCCCTCCCCTAAGGGTCGATAAAAAGGCCCTGCAACTAACGGGATCAGTATATCCATGCAACACAACCATATTTTCAAATGTCCTCACGTGTCTCGACGGATCAGAAGTCCCATCGAACACCAAGTTGGTATCCTTGTAATTATTTGGCAAGGGTGCTGCTAGTATGTCCGCCGAGAACGGGTGTCCTCGAGCGCGCCTCTCCGCTCGACCATCCACCTTAGCCTGCAATTGGCGCAGCTGTTCCGCCATCCTCTCCATCTCCCGGTGGCCCGCCTCCACCATAGCTGGATTCATCCTCCTCCGCGTTTTGGCGTGACCCTGCAACAGTGTTCGGCGTTGATGTAGCCCGAGAGAGACTGTTTGTGACTTGCTGAACTGCTTGCGCGGCTGCCTCCACCACCATTTGTTGCATCTCCTGCCTGGTCATTATCACCTATTGGTCGAGGACCTGAACTGCTGCTCGCGGCGGTACTCCTCCTTGGGCCACCGCTCTTTCTGGTTACATCCCCGTTCCTCCTGGTTGCGCCACCGCCGCTCCCAATTGCACCCCCACTCCCCCTGGTTATGCTGCCGTTGAGCTTTGTGGTGGTGGTGGTGGCATCGCCGCCGCATCCGCCTCGTGAGCACGGTTGGGGTCGGCGTCTCCTCCGGAAATTGTCGTTGCCACTCCCACACCTTAGAGCACAGGTACGGGAGTGATCGGTGTCTGCTATGGGCCAGAAAAACACCGGGGAGGACCCTGTCCCAACGGCCTGGTCGTTGTCCAAGCATCATCAAATGTTGACTGTAAGTTTTTGGGAATTCCGTCCGCCATAGCTGAGCTTCAAGCACACCCTTTCAAACGAAAGTCCCACAGACGGCGCCAAATGGTAACACAAAACTCCTCGACCGGCTGGAACTTGAATAATCGCCTTCTTTCTCACCGGTTGAACGTCGTGCACCTACAAAGAACTCTCACACCGGAGGGGTTTTCCGGTGAAGAGCCTCCGAAGCTTAAGTCAGTGTATGTTCAATCAATTCTCAAGAGTAAGTAATAGAATGATCGTATTGAAGAAGAAAGGCTCACCCCCTTTATATAGGGGTGAGGTACCTGACCTAGGGCTGCCCGGATTTGATGAGCTGTCTGCCCTAACTGCCCTTCCGTACACACCAAACGCGTGTGTCAGAGGTAGCCGTCGCCACCATCGCCTGCACCAATTCGCGTGTCCACCTGCACATGGGGTAGGCTGTCAGAGGTGGTTATCGCTATCCACCACTACCTTCTCGACACGTGTCCCCCTGCACATGGGGTAAATATTCCCCTGGAATTCCGTTAGAGGCTCTCTCACGCGCCTGTGACTAGGTCGATCATCGTGGTGTTAAGTCCTCGAAGTAATTGACCTGTTGAGGTCGAATAAGTTGCCCGATCATGTATCTGGTCGAAGGATAGTTTGGTCGATAGCTTTACTTGATCGACTGGTTAACTGCTCGATTTCCTTGACTTCCCCATAATACGACCTCCTCGACCGGTCAATAGACCGGTTCAGCCTAATGGGTATAATATCCCATATCAAAACCGGTTTAAGAAACTCGAGGAAACCCCTCGAGGTCACACCTAGAAAAGCAATATTCGGAAACCTCGTTAGGAAAAAAAAGAAGCCCACGAAAAAAAAAGGAATAATAAAAAGTGATGAGTTCGTGGGAGTTGGACGGACTAGACTCCGCTTGACTTGGTTAGTCTCTTTCAAGATAATCCAAGTCAACGAGTACGGGAAACCAGCTTAGGGAACTCGAGGATACACGTCGAGGGTAAACCTAAGTAATAATCGTCCCGACAATTCTCATTTGGAAAAAGTGACTCATATATATAAAAATAAAAATAAAAAAAAATTAAAAAAAGTAATGGGAGTTGGCTATTTGGTCTCGTTCTTATTACTTTGTACATTGAGAAGACCGTGTTCCTTTGTTTCTTGCACGTATATGTTGAAAAAGGGAAGTTTGAATTGAGTGATTCATGATTGAGCAACTTGGGTCATGTTTTTGTTTTGAGGATTCGTATGTGGGAACCATGATTTCAAGTTGGAGTTGAATTTTGGGAACAACCAAATGATAAGGAGAGTCGCATAATGCATGTTTGTTAATTTTGAGCCATTCGATCTCTTCTCTCGAACCACTTGTTGTTTTATTTGCTTGAGGACAAGCAAAGAGCTAAGTGTGGGGGAGTTGTTTATTGTGTTTTTGTGCGTACTTTTATGTGTTTTTATGTGCTTTCGAGTCTATTCTAGGTTTATTTTAGTGTCGATCGGTCCATTTTGTCGTTTATCGTGTGTTTTTATGTTTTTCTTGTTTATTTTATATTTTGGCTCACTTTTCCGTGCTTTTGGTATTATTTCAGGTTTATTCCGAGGGTAGAGAGAGAGTCAAGCCATGTTTCGAGAGAGTCGAGCCACTTTCCGAGCGATGAGCATTTCCAGAAGAAGACGAGTTTCCGAGTAGTTTCAAGCCATTTCGTGCGAGTATGTTCGAACTGAGAAGTTGAAGCCTTAGTCGATTCCGACCGAATTCATCCAGTCGAGAGTTCCAACTGTTGTTGCCCAGCACCACTCGCGTGCATGACGAGAAGTCCGCGAGGTCGAGAGCTCCCCGCCACCGTTGCCAATCATCGCTCGCGAGCCCGCTCTCCTTTCCGCAAGGTCGAGAGCCATTACCAGTCGTGCCCGCGTGCTCGCCCAAGGATCCGCGGCGTCGAGAGTGGTGCGTGCCATCGTCCAGCAGGCTCGCGCGGTCGCGGATACGCGCGCGACATCAAGAGCATGTCTTTCTCGTGCGCGCCTGTCCATCCTCATGCCGCGTGCTCGTGAATCTTATGGCGAGGTCGAGAGTGCCATTTTAATTCTGCGTTTTCTAGTGCGTGTTGTGAGTAGAGTATAAATACTTTTGAGCCTTTGTATTTTGGATTATCTAGCTCATTATGAAATGTTTCCCTTTTTAGTTCTTAGCTTTAGTTTTATTTTCTCTCTAGTGTAAGTGTGGATGCCATTTCCTCTTTCCGGCGACTTTTTCCGGTGACTTCTCGTTTATGCAAAGTTTTAATATTTTTCTTCCGATTTCGATCAAGCATGCGTTAGGGATGTGAATACTTACTTTTAAGCCTTGTGATCTCGATTTTCGTACTTACTTGCTATCTCGTGCGTAGAAGTAATTAGGGCTTGTTCGATTATCGAATTTTTAGTAGCTATGTTAGTTGTTTTCGTTTCCTTTACTTTTATGAGCTCGTTTATGATGCTTGGGGTTGATTGAGTATTGATTGCTACTTGAAAAAATGTGACTTTACATTTAGCTCGGTTATTTTGTAGTAGGATTTCGGTTTGGCTCTTAAGCATACTAAATGCAGTTCATTTCTCTTACTTTCGCTTTTGTTGCTCTTGATTTTGTTCACCGGTTTAGTTGCTAGGATTCCGTAGTTCGTTCACTCACTTTGTTGCTCGTTTACTTGTTTTCTCTAGCCGTAATTAGTGTTAATCAACCTCAACCCCAATTGATTAGTATGTTTAGGACTTTATTTTCCCTTTTTGGGATTTGAGCGATCGAATAGTAAGTAAAGCTCCGAATAGCATTCCCTCGAGATCGACCCGAGTCGGGTAACACGGTTATTCTTTACCCACACCAAAATTTTACTAAACAAGTACGTGCCCAATGTTTAGGAGTTCGGGCGACAATCTTAACTAACTGAAGGACAGAGCTATACTTGCTCCCACCCTTGATGTCGTTGAGTCCGTCAATGAATACATGTGCTCATTGAACTCATCCGAGGAAAGAGCTTATTTGAGTTCGAACACCGCTAGCAAGTCAGATGTTGGATATGACTATATTCACGATCTTCATACTCCTGAATTTCTCAAGGGGATTAAGTGCTCGGGACTTCGCAATCATAAATTGCACTTGAAGTTTGGCACTCCCGTGATGCTGCTCAGAAACATTGATCACTCCATGGGGTTGTGCAACAGTAGTGTTGATTAAATTTCAATATATTGTCTATATTTTATTTGATTTTTGTATAAATTTAAGTGATATGTTTTTGTTGTCCAAATTTGGATTTCAACAAGTACTCGATTGGTTATTGGTTATTACTAAGATCAACAGCCATGTCCTAGAATGCAGGATTTTAATGTGCCAGAGCTGGTGATAAGGTTCTTATTTCTTGGCTCACAATCATACTATCCGATTTGAGGGTATTATTTGTTATGTTTTTGTGTTTATTTTCTTATGTCTTATGTGTTAGTCGAGTCGTTTTTATGTTCGTTTCTGTGTTAACCGGTCCATTTTATCGTGTTTTATGTGTTTTTATTTTTGTTATGTGTTTTTCTATTTTTCCGTATTTTCGCATCTCTTTTGGTGTTTTGTTTAGGTCCCATTTACAATTTCGGAAAGACGTGTTGTTCGTGCCATTTCCGAACCATTTAGCCACTTAACCGAGCCGTGAACCGACCCACGAAGAACTCCCATGACACCTCAACACTCGCGGCGAAATGGTTTTGGTGCAAGATGGCACCCGCGAGAACTCCACTGGCACCCCACACTCGCCCGCAAGAACACTTTGGAGGGCTGCCAACCCACGCTCCACAAGCCACACACTCGCAAGCGAACAAACGTTGGCGACCGGCGAAGCGCAAGCACTCAAGCACCCAATACCACGCTCGCTAGCGAACTACTTCTCGCGGTCGATGAAACGGTAGGCTGCGCCTCACAAGAGCAACACTCGCCAGCGAACCAGCATTAGCGAGCCTCGAAACGCCCATCTGCAGCACCCAAGGCCCAACTCGCCAACGAACCTTCTTTGGCGACCAGCGAAAGCCCATTCCAGCATTATTCCATGCCCAAACTCGCTGCGAAATTTGTTTCGAGACCCGCGAACTTCAGAATTTCATTAAATATGTGTGTTTCTAGTGTGTGTTTGGGGTGTAGCTATAAATAGACATTATATTTTGTATTTTTGGATATCATCCTAATTTCTCAACTTTTAAGTTAGGAAAATTCTCTTTATTTTTTTTCCTTTTTATGCTTTGGTTTGGAGCTTATGAATCAAGTTTTCCGGCGACATTGTTTCGAGTAAAGTTTTAAGCTTTTGACTTCGTTTCTCTTCCCAAGTGCGTGTGAGAGTGGGTAATTAGTCTTAAGCCCCATTACTTCGTATATCGTTATTTGCTTTTTGTGAAAAT